GCAGCAATTTAAATATGGGCAGCATTACATACTATGGAATATGGTGAGTGGAACATATTATGAAACATGGTGAGTGGAGTCAAAAATTGAATAAAGCAACTTATATCACATACCCGTTTCTGTTTTAAAAGAGCTTAAATGCATGATTATACATAGTAAATATCTGGGAGAATGTAAATATAAATGCACAGATTAAATGTACACATATATACACTGTGGCAACAGTGGCAGCCTCTGAGGGGTTACAGTGTGGTTCTGTTTTGTGCAGTATTGGAGATGAAACTCAGGGCCATATCCATACCAAAGTACTCTATCACTGAGATACACACCCATTATTATAAACATTTTGTTCATGTTTTCTAATGCTGCATAGTGAATATGAAAGTTTGAAGATGACATACCACCGTAATGAAAGGTTTGGTCCATAACGTGGAACTACTGCCAGGTGGTACAAACCTTTAAGATCTGAGGCACTCATATAAATAGGATGTATCCTCATAGGAGACTGAAGGGCCCTAGTCTCTCCTTCTGCCCACTGATGGAGATAAAACTGCTTCCACCCACAGGGGGCCTTACCATAAAGGGACCACTATCCTCAACCTTTACTAGAGGCTAAATCTATGGTACACTACTTATTCTTGGACTTTGGCAATCCAAAATTGAAAGCTAAATAAACTATCTTTATAGCTCATTTGTGCCAAATATTTCATTAGTGGCAAAAAGCTATTATGCCATACATTGTAAAATATATTTTAAACTTTTTTAAGCTTTTGTGGCTTGTTGAAGTTGTTTGTTTGCTGAGGGTAACATGATTTACTTAAGCTTTAGGGTATTCTAAAGACTGTTTTTTACAGAATATTCCAAATGAGGAACGCACAGAAACCTTTACATGTTTTCTACCTCCTTCCCTGAAACAGTTCTTTGTCTTCCACTTCCTGATTTTACTCATCTCAAGCATTCTCAGACTCCCCCAGTGTCCTCCAGCATCCTCAGATCTCTTCTCACAGGAGCCATTTTAGGTGAGTGCTCTCCTGTGAGGATGCAGCACTAGCCCTCCCTTGCAATGTACCTCTGGTTTCCTGGTGCCACTCACAGGAAACCCCATGCCCCTTTGGAGATGCAGATACAGTCTGCTCAGCCATGAGTTATTTGCCTACTCCTGCCTTCCCTAATCCCCCTCTCTGGAGACCCTGTGTTTCATAAGCACTGCATTCTAACATCTCACTAGAATCCATCTTACTTTCTTCCTAACATCCCACTACACAGTGCACTCCGGGACAGAAAGCAGAGTCTTCCACTTTTGTATGGCCCACAGCTCCCAGTAACAAGAGAAAAGCACTAGTTAGCTCATCGTACAAATACCTTTCACCCAGCAATTTCGTTTCTAAGAATTTATCCAACTGATACATGTGCATAAATTTTCAAAACCATTGTTATCAAAGTACCAACTACAGAAAGGAACCATACAAACTACAAATAATATAACCCTTAAGAGAAGATCAATTTGAATGTATGTTGCTAATCAGAAAAACACAGGACAGGACATGGTCTGGAGATGTAGCTCAGTTGGTAGGGTACTTTTCCAACATGCAAAGCCCTAGATTGGATCCCCATCCCCACAGAGAATCAGGTGTGATGGTGATAAGCATCTGTAATCTCTACAGGAGGAGCTAAGAGGATCAGAAGCTCAGAGGCATTCCCACCTATGAAGCAAGCTGGAAGGCAGCCTGGAATACAAATGACAAAAAGGAGTGAAAGAGGGAGGGAGGGAGGGAGGGAAGGAGAGAAGGAGAGAAGAGGGAGAGGAGAGAAAAATAACTTAGGGTATTTCTCTATACGATCCACAACAAAGAAGTTAGTGAAAAACTGGCAGAAAGAAGGTATAAAGTTATTTTCTAAGTTTAGTTATTTAAACATTCAAGGCCACAAATCAGAAGAACACATAAAGTGGTTTGTTTTTAGTGCGAAGATGGAGCACAGGCCACATGCATGCAAAGCACATATTTTACTGCTAAGCTGAGTCCTCAGTTATCAGCTAACTTTTTAGAATGATCATCTCTGCTAAGTAGAATGGGCTGTTTACTTAGGAACATTTCTATTTTGTCCAGAAAGAAAATGAACAAGGAACTCATACAACATTTGATGTTAATATATATATATACACATATATAGAGTTGTATGTATGTATGTATATGTATGTGTGTATATATATTAACTCACTGTTCTAACATGTCATCTATAAAACAATTTATAATATATACCCATTTTGTTTGAAATGAGTAGTAACAGTTATTTCCAGAAGACTACAGTAAAATATTAGCAGTTTGAGGAAGGCTTTATTTGTTTGATTTAAAAAAAAAATCCCTCCAATTAAAAAAAAAAATAAGCTACACTACTTCTTAAATTATTATCAAGGACTAGGCACTGCACTGGTCTCATAGTAACCACTCAACTTTACTACATCTTACATGAATATATAAAGTCAACAGAAACATGCCTGGGAACCCTGTTTCACCACCAAAGCTAAAAATGAGACAGGAATCAACAGAGGAAGAAATTCTGAGAACCACCATAGGAGTACTGGATTCTGGTCCCTGAGGATTTGGACCTGACATGGTACACCACAGTATTACAAACCTTGCTCCAGTGTAAACTTAGAAATGTTCTAGATTAAAGAGCCAAGGCTTCTCCGCTGAGTACGTCATAAAAATGAAGGCAACACTGCACTTCTTGGACATTACTGTTACCATCTCAGCACTGACCCTGAACTCCCACGGCTGTTGCTTCTCTCAGACTCTGCCACTGAATCTATGAGCTCCTGGCCATTGAGTCAAACTGCTCTGTGTGTATTAGCTGATAGTCCCAATAGCCCCATGACGTATCTCTGCTCTCCAGACAAAGAAACCGAATCATAAGATCTCAGAACCACTAAGCAGCAAGATGAAATTTTAAATCTGGAGATTCGAATTCTTCAAGGTCATCTTACAGCACTCACCCCTCTCTGCACTTCTTTCAAGACAGAAAACATTCGCAATCTTCGGACAGTAACATTCTAACATTGTAGTGGGAGATCTGAAGGTCAACAAGTCCACCAGGATCAAATGTTTATTTTTGGAAATGCTGTTGGTTCTGCCATTATTAGATAATTAGAAACTGTGAAATTTAATTTGCAAGATGTTGTGATGCTTTATGTCCGGAAAACTGTTTGCAGTAATAAACAGGAAACATCAGCAAGTTTTTAAAAATGTGTTTTAATTCTCATTCTACCACTCTTTTCTGCTGTGGAACAATCCTCTTTTACACTAAGAATATGTATTACTCTCACTGGTTAATAAAAAGCTGACAGGCAGTAGCTGGGCAGGAAGTTAGGCAGGAAGGCCAAACTGAGAATAGGAAGGGGAGATGCCAGCCAGCTGCCAAGTAAACAGGATATGTAGAAAATGAGGTAACAATCCATGAGCCATGTGGCAAAGCATAAATAGAAATATGGGTTAATTTAAGTGTCAGAGTTAGCCAGTAACAAGCCTGAGCTATTGGCCAAGCATTTATAATTCAGCCTCTGAGTTGGTTATTTGGTCAGAGGTGGTCAGGGCAGGAAACATCCATTTACACTTTTCCTCTACCTATATAATAAGGTAAAAAGGCACCAATGAAGCACTAGAGACATAGCACAAGAGTACATAGACGAGTGACATGGTAGCCCTCTTAGTATGTGCAGATAGACTCTTGCATGTTTGCACAATTGTGAGATTCACATAGTCTTAGAAACCATCTCAGCCCTTAGGGGATGCATGACTGTACATGAAGAACTGAGCATAATGAATGACTAAGTCTAAAGAGTCAATGTCACCTACTGTTATTAGTGTAGCCTTCGGATTTTCCTATCAGTACTTCCTGTATACATTAGTGATAAGTACAAATCAAATTCAAACCTCTCAGAACAAGACCCCAGAATTCACATGCTTATAGAAACTAAAGGCAAACACTGAAAAAATGATGCTTCTTCTGAAAATGATACTAATGATGAGCCCAAAATTCCACACAGTGGGAACACAATAAACACTAACGGTAAATATGGGCTAGAGAGACGGTTCAGTCAGGATAGCAGGAAGAAGTGAATCCAGTTTCAGAACCCACATAAAAGTAGATGGCATAGTAATTAGCACTTAACCCTTGCTCTATGGAGGTGGCCAGAGGAAGACACCTGGGGACCCTATCCAATTGGCTAGCCAGCCAGCCTACCCTAACAAATGATTTCCAGGCCAGTGAGAGATCCAAAAACAAGTGGATAGCACCTGAGGAATGACACTTAAGGTTGACATCTTGTCTCCATATGCACACGTACCTACACACACATACACACACACAGAAACTAACTTGAAAATTAGATACATCTAGCCTTAATGTATTGTGGTAGTCAATTTACAAAATAAATGCTACTAATAAAACTTACTCCACGTGTTACCATGTGGACTGCAATCATTTCAAAGTTTTTGAAATAAAAATCCTTGGGGCTGGGCATATAGTTTACTGATAAAGTATTTGTCTAGTGTGCTCAAGGCCCTGCGTTTGATCTCCAGCACACGCTCAAAAATTTATAAGAAAAATTAAAATCCTTAGTGTTAAACCTTTCAGACTTTGATATAACCATTTACTAATCTGTTACTAAGTTCAGGTGCTTTAAGGTGGTTAGAAACGTGTCCCTCGTGTTCCCAGTGTCCTATGTTCCACTGTTGGAGATGTGTTCAGTGTGAGATGTTTATTTACTCTTGGAACTTCCGGCAGAGGACACAAACTGTATCAACTCCCTGAGTCCTCACAGAGGTTCTACAGGGCCAAGACTAATCCAGAGGCACAAGTGTGGTTGGGTGACTTTGCCCACAGGAAAGAGAAAAACGGAGAGAGGGGTTAAGGTGCCGACAGCAGCCCTTCAGGGTGGGGACGCTGTCCCTCTGCGGGCCTCATGATGACACTGTAAGCATGGGTAAGGAATACAGTACCCGTGGGTAGCAGGGGCTCCAGCGGGGTAAAGGCATGCTCCATAGCGAGTTATGGGTTCTGCATGGAAAAGAAAAGAAGTTCCAGGTTAAACTTTCCCAAACCGAATTCTGCGACAGGAGCAAGCACGGAGCAGAGCAGCTTGCACTTTGGCCCTGCGGGAGGCCAGGAAGATGCAGCTGTGGGCGGAGGGAAAAAGTCCCGGGAAGAGTCAGGGGGACCAGGACCGAGGGCGGAGGCCCCAAGCGAGCTCCCCGCCCCCGCTCCCGCCGCCGCCTCAGTCGCCTAGACGCGCTAGCCTCCATCCGGGCACTGGCGACGAGGGGCGGCCTCCCTCTCTCCTCCCCTCCCTTCCTCCTCCCCTCTACCTCCCGCGCCCCCGCCCCGCCGGCCCGCGCGGGCAGCCGCGCACTTACAACAATGGCGGGTGGAGCCACGAGCGACGCGAGCGCGGGCTGCGGGGGTGAGTGACGGATCGGCCGCTCGGCGCTCGGCTGCGGGGCCTGGGGCAGCACAGCGCGTTCGCGGGAGGAGGGCTCGTGCACGCGCCCGCGTAGAGACACGCCCCTTCCGGAGGGTCCGAGGCGCGGGGGCGGTCGCCGGCGCGTCCCCTAGCGGCCGCGGAGGGTGAGCCTGGGCTGCCGCCCTCAGTTCCCTACACGGCGGAGAGTTCCTGTCATCCTTCACCGACCGGCACGCCCTGCCCTCTGGGTCCACCTTCTCTTTCAGCTCCTGCTTCGTGCGCTCTGCAGAAACAATCTTTGGAAACATTCCAATGGAAACCCTTAAAAATGAGTCACCGCTTTGTAGGAATGCACCTTTTTTTTTTTTTTCCCCAATATAAGCAAAGCCAAAGGGTCAAAGTCTCCCTGGCCACCACCAACCACTCCTAGGCCTGCAGACAGGACTCAGAACTTCTGCCAGCCCTTATGGTGGTCTCCTGTTGGCCCAGACATTGCAGAGATCGATCCTTGCTTGGGCAAGGTAATCTTCCACTAGAGTTAACCCGAAGTGACGCGCCTCAATGTGACTTTACCCCTGGCAGACATCAAAAGCACACGTTTAAAGAGCCCTCAAGACTACTAAAACACAAACTGGAGATTTGCAGAGAAGGTTGTGTTTACATGTAACACAGGATTGCTACAATACAAAAGGAACTTTTAAAAAACAACAGCCAGAGGCAAACCAGTGAAATGATAACCCAGATGTATTATTGATGACAATAATGTAGCAAAAATAAAGCAATAAGAGACAAACAACAAACAGATGAAATTTATCTGTCATCTTATAAAGGATATTAGTAACAATTTACAATCATTAAGCAGTTACCTTTCAGTTACTGTAGAGGGCTTTTGTGTTGTTTAATTACTATAAAATGGTTGCTGTAAAAGAACAAGAAACCATTAAATGCTGACCATTGTTTCATCTTGAATCTTCATAGTCTAACCCAACTGCTAGTAAAGAATAATCAGTATCCATTGAATATTCATACTGGAGTTTTTTCAATACTCTTGAATGCTACCTCTCAAGCTCTTAGAACTGACCCATCCATCTACCTCAGAACAATTCTCCTTCATCTTTAATCAACTACAATTGATTCCAACACACTTATGTATGTGTGTGTCTGTGTGCGTGAAATTGATGGGAGCCATAAGCCTAAGTGACCTTTGACACACATGCTGCCATATTTAGGCTTCTCTCCTCTTTTCTTAGATCTAGGCCTTGCTTAAGTCTCCATAGCACCAGAACCTCTTCTCACATGTAAGGTGAGCAGGCTGCAGTTAGGCAATTAGGCAGTTAGGCAAGGGTAGATAGATAACCCCCACAGCAACATTCCCTGCTGGCCGAACAGCCCACAATTAAGTCCCTTCCTGCTTGCAACCCCCTTTGCCTACCTATATATGCCTTAAGAGAAAAAATAAAATTTTGGAGCTTGATCAGACATCCTGTCTTGCTCTCATTCTTTGTGTCTCTTGTCCCTCTCATTCGCCGGCCCTCCCTTTAGGTCCCCGTTGAGGACCTCACTGGCTGGGGCATGAAATGAATTCATACTAGGAGGAAAACAAAAATTGTAGTATAGCATATCAGATATTCTTGAAACAACAAACCAAGCCCATAGTCCTTTGTGGAATAATGTTACTAACAGTAAATTGCATAAATATGAATAGTAGAATAATTCCAGCTGTACTTCTAAATGTATTTGAATATCCTTAGAACATGGTTAAAGATGTCATTGTGGTTTAGATGAGAAATGTCCCCCACAGTCCGAGGCCTTTGAGCACTTGGTCCCAGGTGTTGACACTGGGGAGGTTTAGGTACTACACCCTGGCTGCAAGAAGTCAGTCACTGGGTCCGGGCTTTGAGATCAAATGCGGTTGCCCACTTGTGCTTTGCTCTCTGCATCATGCTGGTAGTTGAGATGCGAACTCACTGCTTCCTGCTTCTGCCATCACGCCGGCTGCCTCCTCACCATAATGGACTCTTATCTCTCTGGTACCATAAGCCAAAATAAACTTTATTCCTTAATTTACCTTGGGCATAGTATTTTATCACAGCAACAGAAAAGTAACTAAGTAGATGCTCCATGTTAAAAAAAAAAAGGGAGAGCGAGATGGGATGGGTAGAAGTCAATAGGTTGAGAGAGAGATGGCTTATTTTCAAACACTGGGTATCATATAACATTTTAAATACTTTTCAGATTTTGATTGACACAATAATTGCATGCATTTATGTACCTCAGTGTGACAATTCATGTACTCAATGTATAATAATCAGATCAGAGAAACTGGTATATGTTTATTTTTGTTTTAAAACCCAGCTCCATGTATACCAGACTAGCCTCAAAGTTACTATGTTACTAATGATGACTTCATACATCTGAGTCTCCTGTTTCTTCCTCCTAAGTACTGGAATTTTAGTCACGGCTATCATGTCAGGTTTATATGGTTCTGGGTATTCAGCTAGGCAAGTACCCTGCTAACTATAGCATGAATCTTAAAAAGTTCTTATTAATAAAATCAAACCTGAGGCCAGTTATTGGGGTTAAATGCTGGAAGATCAGAGAGACAGAACAAGCCACAGCTTCCTCACCTGGCCAATTCCTCAGGTGATCCAGTTTCCTCAGACTGGATGCCTCTCAGCTGAACTGTGCTGCTCAAAGTCTAAAAGCTTAACCAGACAAATGCCTAACCAGACAAATGCCTCTAGTTTCTGGTCCTCACGCCTTATATATCTTTCTGCTTTCTGCCTCACTCCCTGGGATTAAAGGCTCGCTTTCTGGGATTAAAGGCGTGAGTAACCATGCTTGGCTGTATCCTTGAACACATGGATTTCTGCCTCTAGAATGCTAGGATTAAAGGTGTGTGTTACCACTGCCTATTCTCTATGTTTAATATTGTGGCTGTTCTGTCTCTGACCCCAGATAAGTTTATTAGGGTGCACAATATTTTAGGGAACACAATACCATCTCAGCTAACTGACGTACTTCCTCAGTCAGGTAGTAGGTATATCTTATTAACTCCAACATCATTTCTTTGTATTTGAAATATTCAAATACACTCCCCAAGCTCTGGCAACCATTATTAAATTCTCTCCTTTTTTGATATTAACATTTTAGCTTCTAGATAACAGTAAGAACATATACTATTTGTCTTTCTTTACCAACTTTCTTCGCTTGATATACATAATGTCCTCAAGTCTCATGCGTGTTTCTGTAAATGCCATTATTTTATTTTTTTATAACTGAAGAATATTTAACTGTCGTAAAGAACATTTTATTCATTCATTTATCACTATATATCTTTGCAATTATGAATGCTAATTCAATAAACATAAGAGTGCAGTGTGTTTGATAGAGTGTTTTTCATTCTTTTTGGATATATGCCCAGCAATGGGATTACTGGGCCATATGGTAGTTTATCTTCGGTTTATTTAAGGAACTGCCATTGTGCTTTCCACAGGTCTATGCTAACTTAAATTTCCGCCAACCATGCTTGAGAGTTTTCCTTTCTCTGCATGTCCCTCCTTCCTGCCCCACTCTCTACTTATCCCTGTCACTGTCCCTCTTCCCCGTCTCCCCATCTCTACCATCTTGTTATTCTGTTGTGGTTTTATTTCATCTCCCTGAAGATTTATGATGTTGGGCATTTATTCCTTTTACTTTTTGGCCATTCATGCATCCTCTCTTGAGACATAACTGTTCAAGTCATTGTCCCATTTTTAATTTGGATTATTTGTTGGCATAGTTGTTTCAAAAAACAAACTGAGTTGAGTCCCTTATATGTTTTAAATGTTAGTCCCTTATACAACAAATGATCTAACATCCCGCCTCCAGTTCTGTGACTGTCACTTTAGGATGTTATTTTTTTTCCTTTACTGTATCAAAACATGCTTAGCTCAGTAAAGACCCAACATTTACTTTTGCTTTTATTATTTATGCTTTCTGGATCATGCCCCCCTCTCCCCAAAAAACTGTTTAGACCAATGTCCAAATGTTTTCCTTATGTTGTCTTCTGGGATTTTCCCATCTTACATGTGTCTTGATCCATTTTCATTGACTTTTATACACAGTAGAAAATAGATGTCTAGTTTCTTTCCTTTGCATATAGATATCCAGAACCTTTCATAAAAGAAGTGTACTTTTTCCAGGGTATGATTTTACTGCTTTTATTGTCATCAGTTGGCTGTAAAAACATGGATTTAAACTCTGGGTTCTCTTTTCTACTAGTTTGTGCTTCTGGTTTTAACATGCTCTGTTGTTTTTGTTCTTTGTTGGTGTTGGTGTTTTTGTTTTTGTTTTTCCGAGACAGGGTTTTTCTGTGTAACAACCCTAGTTGTCCTAGAACTCGCTTTGCAGACCAGGCTGGCCTGGAACTCACAGAGATCTGCCTGCGTCTGTCTCCCAAGTGCTGGGATTACAGATCTATGCCACCACCAGCTGTCTTAAGTTGCTATTTTGATTAATGTCACTTTCTAGTATGTTTTGAAAACAGATATTGTGATACCTATAGCTTTGTTCAGAATACTTTAGCTATTTGGGATCTTTCATGGTTCAAAACATTTTCTTTCTGTGAAAAGTATTGATATTTTGGCAGAGTCTATTAAATATACAGATAAGTTGGCTTAGTGTGTGTTGGATTATTTAAAGAGCAGCTGTACAGAGAGGGAACATGGAAATAAATAGAGGCTTGGTCTGACCTTAGGTGGGACTGTGTTTATTCATGACAAGGGGGTACTTTTATCACCCACATGTACAGAAGATGGGACGTGGCCCCTTACAGAAGTAGGAATGACTTCCATAGTCCACAAGGACACTGAGAAATGTAGATTATCAGCAGGAAGTTATCATCCCGTACACTGAGAGGCTGTAAAAAAAGAAAAGAAAAAAAAAAAAGCAAGACAGGGGTGTTATAACTGTTTTCTGCTGAGGAGGGTCTTTGTTGGATGGGGTAGTTCTGGCTCCATTGAAAAGACCGTCCCCTGGTCCTCTAGCCAGAGAAGAGTCTTGACTTGATCAGCTAAGGTGGGTCAGACAATTGTCATCCTGCATTCCTGAAGG